TGTGTGTGTGTCTGTGTGTGTGTGTATGTGTGTTTATGGGGGTGGGGGTGGGGGGGTGGGTGTGTGTCTATTCATTTTCTGAAGGCCCCATCTGGTTTTTTAAAGAACATCATATCATCATAGTGACAGGTGTTCTGTAGTCTGGGAGGACATGTACGGCTTACTGACCAGAGAAATTGGAGAAAAAAGGGCTTGAAATGTTGGCAATTGATCTAAACTTTTAAAAATGAAGATACACACAACTTGATTGGAGTGTTTCTTCATCAGATGAGCTATTGTAGCAAAAAAAAAAATAAAATACAATTTCTGAAATCAAATATCTCAAGAAGTTGGGGCACATTTATGAAAAACAAACTAGAACGTGATTTATCTTAAAAGATTTAGTTTCGCACTTTGTTAGACTAATGATGCACAGTAAAAAAAATAAAATAAAACCCCAGAGATATCAACTTTTATTCCATACATTCCTCTTCTTTGTCAAAATGTGTCCACTAAATTACCTACAATGCAACTCAACTGCAGACAGTTTGGTCAGAGGTTTGGGTGTGTTATGCTAGTAGCGGCTAATGTAGCAGTCTGTTAAGACTTTGATCTGTAAAATTGGTGCAGTTCCCCTTTAAATATATCCTTCTTCTCATGGATGTGAACTCAGACGATATCCTCAGGAGTTTTTTTCAAAGACATCATCCTGTGTGTACAAACAAAATAAAAGTGCATATTGTACTGTATGTGTGTATGTGTGTGAGATTCCAGCTTGGCCATCTGGTCAAAGCATTTCATGAAGGAGAGATAAATTATTTCTGATCATGAACAACTTGTTTGGGGCCTTCCCAAAGTTCCAAACTGATTTATGGGAGAGTGTGACTCCTGCACAAGTTGACTTTTACGTCATCCTTTCGGCAAACAGAGAGAGGGAGGGATGAGGCCAGTCCTGAACCTTGTCCAAACTCTGCAGGCTGCCACGACGAAGGGTATTTTTTTTTTATATCAAGGTCTGCCAGCTAGGCTACTCTGACAGTTCTATCCCCTGCCAAAATACAAACACGGAGAGAGTGAGAGTGAAAGAGAGGTAGAGCATAAAGAAAGATTGAGAGTGATTTAAAAAAAGGGAAGAGAGCGGCAGAGAGTCTTGTCATCTGATTTTTGTCGCACACTGACACTTAGTGTTTTAAAAAACTTTTCAGATTCGGTGAGTGCACTCCAGGGGGCCAGATGATTCACAGAGCAGATTCCTATATAAACTGCTTTATATAATAATAAATTATATAATTTTCACATGCAGCTAATGCAGAATTAAGTTTGTTTTCAAATGGATATCTAATTTTACACTACCACCACTCAAGTCACTCACATTCTTGAAGGAAATGAATGTAGCAATGCCCTGTTGTGCTACATAGTGTAATGTGTACAGGTCTATTAGCCAGGACAGGCTGTTCTATTGTTATTGATGCTCTTATTTAGTTTGACATAATTGAATTCCAAAATGCAATATCACTCATTCATCATGTTGAGGGTTGACATTTCTATCAGTTTATTGATGCCCATTCAAGTGAATTTAGTAAAGTGTAAAAGCATATATAGATGTAGAAAATGTGTAGTTGGCTAAACATGATCGTGACTTTTGTTAGTAGCACAGAGCAGTAAAGATAGAGGCTGCACAAAATTTAATCAGCTTCTCTGCCTACACATGTAATCCTTTCATGGAATAAACATTTAGAGCTTATGCCAAGTCATGTTTCAAGCACGACTGACAATCTCTGACCATCGCTGAATCAGTGATGGACCCCTGCTTTAAAATCAAAATCACTCACACCACGCAAGCGAGGAGAAGAAAAAACAGGAGAGTTTTTGGACAAGGTCTGAAATTCTAACCAGTGAAATCTGAAAACCTTTAAATGTCTTAATTTAAAGAGTACTATAGGCTGCTACATTTTTCTTTCAGTCTGTCTCAACCTCTAACAAATGCCACGTAACAGTGTTTTATCTTCGACTCAGAGTCTTTTTGACAAATTCAGCAGGCCCCCTTTTTTCCCTCTTTGCCCTAGTGCAGCGTCGATTAAAGGCCTGTGTTATTCTATATCAAGAGCCTGTTATAGCAGAGAATGCCATATTTGTGATGCTCTATTGATCCCCGAGGGGGGAATTTGTCTTTCAGTCTGGCTCTGTTCGCAGTGCTGTGGAAAGGGGTTCCCTCCTCTCAAAGCGCCTCAGCAGTACAAGAAGGGTTAAGGCTCACCTCAAAGATGCGAAAAGAGAGGGAAGGCCCTGCAAGGACAAACTATTGATCCTCTCCTGGGTGTGCTGCCAGTGTTTCATACAGAGGTTCATGATTTCCTCAGAATCGTATATCTCTTTCTGTCTCTTTCTCCCTCTTCCCCCCTTATATCTGCTGGCCTCTTTCTTCTCCTGTTGCCCTAAAATGTGACCAGAGGTGTGAATTATGCAAGCCCAAATGCTTGTCACTCACCTTTGAAGTGTGAATTACAGTGTCCTGGCTCGCTACAACCTGATTAATACACATCTGTTCCTGTGTTGTTGGCAGTACAATGGTGTTAGTTACTTCCAAAATTAGGAGGAGGTTGCAGCAGGTCCCCAGCAAAATGAGGGATCGTTAAAATTCAAATTTATTTCACCCCATCTTAGCTGCCATACAGAGAGGGCTCTGATAACTGGTTAAGTATCCACCAATTACCACAACCTTTTAGGCTCATGACCCCCTAAAATGACGAAATGTCTACTAATGACCCATGTCACCTCATCTATGGGTTGTGACTGTTATATATATTCTTAAGGGGCTTTGTTGATGTAACAGGGAAAGGTAAGAGGTATAGCTTAGAGTAATTATCTGACCCCATAAGAGTTTTCTGACATTCTAGCATTAGGTATTTCTCGCATGTACTTGTGTACTGATTAGTTAGAGACAGTAGCTCAGGCATCAGGCTAGCAGATATCAGTGTTCTCTGGGAATCTTACAAGGTTGAGTACTACAAGAATGTTTACAAGAACTAACTGGCTCCACAGATTAGAGTACAACTCATGGATAGATATAGATTCCAATATGACAAAGCATTGGAGTCTAAACATCTTATAGATTAGCTGTTCTAGGTGAAAGGTGACCTAATAGAGAAACATACAGGCACTAGGGGGAAGAGAGAAACATAAAAGGGACCAAAAGATGTTATCCTTCAGATTTGGTGTTGTATCTCCTCAGCCGGGCTCAATAAACAACGCTATGTTATGTCTTCATCAGTCTCTGAAACATCTTCACACCTGAACCTGGCTCACAATATTTCTTCAACAGTGACCACATCAACTGGAAAAGTATATATATATTTAAAAACCTCGAAAAGAGGTCATCAACCAGTAAATCATAAATAGAAAAAATATTAAAAGGGTATTTCAGTGATTCAGTACTGCACTTCCAATGAGCTGGGTTACTCACAAGTGACAGATTAACTTGTAAGTATACATCAGGTGAAAGGTTCAATCCTGTTTCACCTGTGACCACACCCAGCAGCGGGTTGTGGTCGGGTAGGGTTAGAAGTTTGCTTTGTTGCATTTGTAACCTTGCCCCTCAGTGACGTCATGGTGTACGGACACATCTTCTACATCACTACAACAGGGCGACAAGTTAAACTACTGGAGTTCAACAAACACAAGACAGTCCCATAACACAGACTTTAGGTCCAAAAATACTACAAACGTAGTATTAGTCTTTCATTGGACCTGCATCCTAAATGTCACATTTTGTTCAAACCCCACACCTCCAGTATGTAAATGTGGATTACTGTTAAAAAGTATGTCTAACGTCACCAGGGTAATTTATTCAAACTTTATAAAACTCCCTCCAGAACTACAGGATATATTATGCAACTAATTTTTCAGACAGAGTGGGACTCTTCCTGATGAGTAAACTGAACTTTATGTGTAAAACCAGTGGTGTGTCCTTTTAAATGAACATAATAGAAACATAAACACTGTGTAGCACAAAAGATTTGTCTGCTCTCATATCCTGTTGTTTATTTTGTGAACCACTGAATTACCCCAAAGCATGCATATATTTGCAACTCCATGGACTACTATGCCATGGAAATTCAACAACAACAAAAAAAAATCAGCTGAAACTGACAAAATGTTGGCTATCAATGTGATTCATGTGACGTCCTCTGCATGAGAAGTTAAAGGCCCTGCTGCATATGAGCACCACGGACAGCGCACCACTCTGCTGCAGGGTGGAAACATTACATATTGCACCTTGCCCTGTGTGAACTTGAACTATTTTATCTTTAAGTTCTGATGCGCTGATAATCCTGTATAAGAATCCTACATAATTAATATTACATATACTGCAGGCTAAAGAAACCACAGCAAAAGTTAATATATATAAGAACATATGGGGAATTTTATATGGCATTGAATGGCAGCATAGGAGACAAATAATACAGTTAAGTGGGATATGGTCACAGTTCACAAGTGCTGCAACCATAAGGATTGTTAGAGGGTTTTTTTGGATGCAGGACAGCTGTGAGTTTACCCTCCAAGTAAACACTGTTGACAGTACTTTGTTTATTTTTATTTACATAACTGGACAGATTAAGGGCCAGAGAACAGTAACACCGGTCCCTTTTCCTGCTTGTCCTTTAAGCCAAGCAGGGTGCAGACCGGGACCTGGTGCACGGGGAACAGTTTGGAGCAGGAGCTAGAGGGGAAGTTGCAACGCCCCTGTTCAGGCAGCAGGGCTGGAGCAGATAAAAGCTCAGATAGTGATTGAAAGTGATGGTAAAAGGATTTAGCCTGGGCATTAACTGAGACAGGAGAGAGGGAGAGAGAGAGAGAGAGAGAGAGAGAGAGAGAGAGGGAGAGAGAGAGAGGAGGAGGAGGGAGGGTGATATTTTCCATAAAGCCGTTTTTTCTCTCTTTCTTTCTGCCCTTGAGCATCCCGGGTAAACCCGAGCTTGTAAAGTGGGAAGAGGAGGAGGAGAGGGGGGGGTAAGAAGGGCGGGCACAAGCCTTTCCTCAAAGTCAATATTTTATACTTTTGATACTCCTTGACGCTGGATTTCAGTCCCCTTTTCCCAGCCGTTTCTACATCTAGGACACCGATCTACCGTGCGCAGCCATCCACGGTGTGATGAAAAAGTATCCGGCAGAAGGCAAAAACAAACAGCGAGCCGGGCAGGCAGAAAACGGGAGTACAGAGAGGACCGCGGCGGGGACCGATTGCAGTGGATGATCTGGGGGGATCTTTTTGCCCCAAAGAGGGGTGGACGTGCACGTACTCCAACGCCACACAAAGTGCAGACCTGCCTCACGGATGCATGTTAGAAGTAAGTGCATCATCTGATAAAACAGCGATAGAGAGATTATTATCTGATAATCTCGCAACACGATGCATTTTTGCCATATAGCGCTCTGAAGTGCTATAAAACTGCTCTGAGTTACATACAATATCAGGACCACTCCAGGATAATCAGAGTGATTAGGGGACTTTCAGCTTATTTTATTCCATTTTAGACAAACCAAATGAGTGCATTAATTTCTTAAGATACAGTATAGTGTAGCCTAAGCAATGCTGCGCGGTGGGGTGGACTACAGTAGAAACTGACACACCCCTAAAAGACAGTGTCAGTGCCGGGAAATGGCTTTGGCGACTTCACCTGACCAACTAATTCCACAGTCCACAGGGTCTGTGGGATAGGCTGTGCAAGGACCTGGCGTCTGTCAGTGTGGGGTGACAGTGGGATTATGATCAATGGGGACACGCTGCAAAAAATGTCAACTATATTTATTCATGTATTCATGTATTCAGTGTAAAATCGAATTACAGTTAAATTAAGTGAATAAATCCGGCAATAACTACTTCCCGTGCAATTTTATTTTGCTTAAAGTTTTTTATTAAATTAATGACAACACGCTGAAGTAAGATAGAAGGAGGCCTGTAATTCATGAACTCCGAAAAATATGACACTTGATTCAAGAAAAATCTTGATACAAGTTATTTGTGAGTATATTAGCTTACTCTCTCCTTTTTGTTGTTCGCAGATGATAAGAGAGGGGTTTGGATTGGGTTATATTTGCCTTTAAATTCTCTCTCGGGTTGATATTTCTTGCAGTGCAATTATTTAAAAAAAACTCTTTAGCATACTCTCTATCTCCAGCATTGGAAAGCTATAGGACCAATTACAACTCTTGCACGCACAGGTGGCACCCGGCAGCAGCACGTGTTTTTACGCACAGGGTTCTCCACACAATGCGGCGCTTTCTTCGTGCGTTTTTAATGTGCAAGTCTTTATGTTAAATATGCCGAATGCACCGCAGATTAGAGGCGAGTGTTCAACCGAACTTGCCCGCATTGTAACCAGCTTGCTGTGTCAGGAATTCGCTTCAAAGTTCTCCTCGTAGTCTAAAGACGAATTAGATGTTTTTCCACTTACAAGCTAAATTACAGCCAATTACTACAGAATAATTAAGGAGTTAATTACACTACAAAATAAGATCGCAGCACATCGACATATATATTTCAAAGACTTCCATTAAACTTTTATTCGTGCAAAAGAGAAACACCACACGGGATACATTTCATCTTAAGTTCAGCTCTGAAAAAACAGAACATGCCTGCATTTACAGTAGCCTAAGATTAAGAATGTAATGAATTGATGAGGATGCATCACCCATCATACTAACTCCCTGCTTCTCTCGCATTTTGTCCTCATTTCCCCATAGGACAATCAGAGGAGCTCGGCCAGTGCAAAACCTCCAATGGATATACCTGAAGACGCAGCAGCTTCTCCTTTACCCTCCCCGACCAGCTTCACTGTTTCCCTGCAGGACACCGCTCTCTGAGACATGGACTCGCGTTAACATCTTCCACCCAACTCCCTGCAACACTATGGTTAAAGTGTATGCCGAGATTAATCTCTGTAACATTATCCGCCTCTCCACCCTCCGCCCATCTTCCTCAGGAAGTAAGCCGTCAAAACAAGAAAGCGTCCCTCTCTCGGCTCTCTGGGGGGCGTCAATATTTGTGAAGAGACACTGAGCGATACACTGTTCTCCTGTCATTTAGGGAATTTATAAGCCTGGAGGCGAGTTGTGTCAATTTCCCTTCTCCATTCACAGTACAGCAGTATGGTGGTAGGAATGTCCACTATTTCCTTATGATCACCGCTCCATGCGCTTCACCTCTCCACTGAGATCCGTGGCCCCCTCACCCTGCGCGCCGGACCCCGTACCAATCACCCCCCCCAGCCTGCCATGCTCCTCCAGGCCGTGTTCCTGCTGCTGCTGCACTGCTTGGGCTCCACTCTGGGCCAGTACGAACTGTGCAAGTCCCTGGTGAGCACGGATGAGGGCTCGGTGTGGGAGCAGTACGCGTGCCAGCCGAAATCCGCATCCATGAAAGACTACATGCGGATCAAGGTGGATCCGCCCGGGATCACGTGTGGAAACCCACCCGAGAGGTTCTGCACTCTGGTGAGTTCATGTCGGAGTTGTACAGCATCTTACATACCTTTAATATGCATAGAAATGTATAGAATGTATACAATGCAAACATGTACTTGCAGAGACCCTGGTTGGTCTTCATTTAAATAAATAATATTACTTATATATCATTTTTTATTTTGGAAATCAGCAGGATCACAGGGTTATGCAGCTGAATTGTGACAACAGTGAAAACAGGAAAAATGGTCTAATTACAGTCAGAGCAGGATTGACACTATAAAAGCTATAGGGATGTAAAAGAGATGACATAAGTGCAGTGACTTGGCATGGCTTGACCTCCCTCAGAGAGGTCCGGAGGTGTTGTTTACATTAGTATGGACTTGGCAGCCTGGGATCCGGTTTGATTTGGGCTACTAAGGGACCTCAGATTTCATCCGGTAAAATGCATATACTGTAGCGGGACCTTTTTAGTTCCAAGGACAGTAAAGGGTGAGCTGGAGGAAAACTCGTTAAAGTGTCTGCTACAGCAATATTTAACACATTTTAGCCTGCAGGCTAGTTCCCATCCCGGCTAATGTAAGTGTAATAATTTGAAATAAGGGTTATAAAATCATTGTAATCCTAAAAGGACTGCAATTATGCTCCCCCCTGCCTCTGTAGAGGAAAGTTGAGAGATTTGACTCACAAGATTTGACACAATGTGTGTGAGACAACAAGTTCATCCTCCTGATGATCGCCCCACTGTCCACTCACTGACTTGGCCAGTATTGAAGGCGCCAGACCTGTCTCAACAGCCATGAGTCAAAATCTCACATAAGTGTTTCTAGTGAGAGTGTTTAGGCCTGTCTACATCACATTATACACTCATGTCATTCTGTTAATTAGGTGTTTGTATTCTGTGCGACTGGAGATTTGTTACCTTTAGATAGAATTTACAAACGCTCCACCCAAGTCTCCCTCCCTTCCTCTCATTGAGACTAATGACAGTACGTGAGGGTCATTTGACAGGAGCAGGAAAGGATATTGTGCTCACTGGATACCTAATGGTTAATGATTTGTTTAATGTAGAAGTAGCGGAAACCGCTGTCGTCTTGAGAAAGCCTCTCCGATGACTTCTCAAGATGGGAGACGGACAGAGGCCTGGGAAAAAAAGGGGGAGAAGTGAAGAGAGATGCTCGCTGCCATAACGTATTGACGTCTGCCCCCTAATGGCCCTGGCCTGGAAACTTCTATAACTATGTTTCTGAGTGAGCAATGATGAAATATTGATGGGCTCCTTAATGGGCTTTCTTACAAGAGTTTGGCCAGCGTCACTCCATCCCAAAGATCCAGAGTGCGCTGCTAGGCTGATGAGAGAGAAAGAAAGAGAGGGATAGAGGGCGGGACAGGAAGGAGTCTGGTCTTAGTCAGCAGTTTTGAATCGGACAGGGTCTTTATAGTGGAAAGTTCTGGGTCTTCTCAGGTCATCTGGGGCTGTGGGAATGGAACCAGGCCCCCTAGTGCACTAGCTGGGAATTTAGAGAGTGAAGAAGCTGAGATATGAAAGTTTACTTAAGAAACAAAGAAAATCAGACTCAAATTCCTACATAATGAGAGAGCAGAGTACGTTTAATACTCTAACTGGATAATAATTCAACAAATTGTTTTATATTTAGGGCCTACTGAGCAAAAAATTCTGGCATGTTATAATGCGTATTTTTGCATTTTGGAATCACTGAGCAGCTACATGTTACCTACTAACAGAGTTTTAATCCATCTATACACACTTAAGCAGGGAATCAAGGCCATTACATCTCCTTTGTCTTTCTTTTGGTCCCGCCAACTGAGTATTAGTTGAGGGTTATTGGCATACAGATTATTTATTTTCAGGCAAGCAGCATTTTTGCCCCCCTCTTCCTCCTGCCCCCGGATTTGGCAGCTTTACAGAAAAGCCAGTTTCTTATCTAATTGGTGTACATTTACATTTACTCATTCAGCAATCCCACAAGTCAAAGGAAAGTCAGGGCACTGGGAAAAAAAGACTGCATCACCCAATGCGCAGAGCTGCTCATACTTAATAAGACTTGAGACATACTGCGGAAGATGCAAAATATATCCCCCCCCCCTCTCTCACCCTATGAGTGCTCCAGTGTGTTAAAAACTATGGGAGAATTCACTTATTGGGGGGTTTTGATGTTGAGGCATACTGTAGCGTTCCCTGCTTGCATTGGTTTACAGTAGTTTTAGGTCCCTCCATCTCCACAGGGATGCATTTTTTCCACTCTATTTATCTCTCTTGTTTTCTGGGAATGCAGCATCCTTTCTCCTCAGCCAAACAGGCCAGCATGTTGGCTTCTTTCAACATGACGGGCTTCCAGCACTTTGACAAAGATGCTACTGTCACTAGTGCTGTGTTAGGAGCTTCAGTAGTTTCTCTGTAGTTTCTCTGTATGATAGCTACTATAGCATCTTAGCTTGCACTTGGATGATGGAGTAAGGAGGTTTGGTGGGGGTGTGGGTAGAGGGGGGGGCACTGGGTTGCAGGGGGAGATAGCTAATGATGAGGGAGAAGTAAGGAAGATCCAAGCTTAGCTAAGCAGAAAGATGAAATCCGACCACAGTTCCACAGTTGTACACACAGTGTCGATATAAAAACGCTGCATTCTAAAAAGCCTCGCTGTGCTGCTGTTTGTTATTTCGTTTTTTGGTTTTGAACCCAAACCTTCAATCAACCATCTCCCTTGGGGTCGAGAACTGAGAGCAGCCGAATGCAAATGGGATGCGTGCATGTGTACAGGAATGTACAGTGTGCTGTGATGTTAACGGGGACCAGCAGGGGTGTGTGAAACGCGTGCACGAGTTGGCCGACAACGCACGGTAGTATGTCTAAGAAAGACACACACACACAAAAAAAACACACCTTCCTGTTCCACAACACATTTGCCCGTTTTAGAAGGTAGAAATCAGCCAGCTCTAAAAATAGACATGAGAGGAGAGAGAAGCCGCGCAGCAGCGGAAGGGGAGCATGCAGGAATGGGAGGAAGATGGCAGCTGGTAGCGTGGATCAGTGCTTCCCAGACTGGGCCTATAGCCATACTTCATGCTCTCTGCCCAGTGTAGCCCTGCCAGGCCCGGCTGGCCTGCCCTGCCCAGCAGTGGGCTATCAAGGCCATGCAAAAGGGCCACCCACATCCAGCAGCGGGCCATCCCTGATTCACCTCCCTGGGGTACATGAGCTAGCCCAGGTGGCCAGTGTTCTAATAATACACCCCTGGAGGTGAATTTGGGCACAGCGTGAGCAGGTTTGACAGCGCAGGGCATAATTAACGAAGGGAACAGAGAGAAACAAACAGCTTCAGAGAGCGACAGAAAAAGAGTGATTGTACGAACAAGGGAGGTGGGGGAGGGTGTAGTGATGTAATGGCATGGCTTGCTTTCCCATTAGGATACAGTTGAAAGTGATCAGAGTGTGTATAGATGTGTTGGCAGAACGGGAGGATAGTTATAAGTGAGATTTATCCCAGACTGAGGTGATACTAAGAGGGATTGGACGCAAGGGCTTAGACAGCCTGAGGTGAACTTAGCAAACTGCCTTGTCTCACCAATCAGGATCTCAGGACTGAATGCTGTTGGGAGAGGAGAGACCACATGTATAGAAGCTGCAGAGCCAGTGTTTGTGTGTGTTTTCTTGGGTTTGTACATGTGTGAAAGACAGACTGGCCACAACAACTGACACTGATACTTTAAAGGGACATTTGTCAGCCTGCTTTCTTACTTTGTGTCCCTTATGCTTGAATGTTACTAACCGCCTCCGTTGTAGAGATTTGGGAAATACAGACAAGGATGAGGAGAGTGAGCCTCTTAGCTTTCCAACAAAACTTCAATGCATCAGAATCTATCTCAAAAATTCAGACAGGAAGAAGTCCCCTGGAAATGCCTGTAGACTAGTATTTCAGATGTCTGTTGATTTGTTGGAAAGCTGTAGGAGAATCTCACTCTCTTTGCCACTATTAAGAATGTTCTTGCCGTAGTGCACATTCCCCAAATTTCTACAACGGAGGTGGTGAGTAGAAATGTGCACTATAACAAAAACAATCCTAATCAAGGCAAGGATCAAGAGTCTCCTACAGCTTTCCAAAGCACTTGAAATCAACAGTAATCCTTGCAAATACTTTTCTGCAAGGGGATACTTTCTGTGTTTACTTTCAGTCAGACTCGAAGATAAGTGTTTGATTTCTGTTGATTTAAAACTTTCTGGAAATCTGCAGGAGACACATGCTCATTACACCCAATTGACATTGTTCATCCTGGAGTCCACATTTCCCAAAACTCTGTATCATAGAAGTGGTGAGTAAAATATCATCATAACCGAGGGACAGAAATATAATTTGGCGCTAGAGGGAAGTCTTTGCCAATGGTATCCGATACCGCTGCTTAGAGTTGAAGACTACAAACAGAAACAAACAAGACCTTTGCACTGGGTTACACCTGCTCTAAGTTATCTCCTAAGTTAGGGTGTAAAGTTGACACTAGAGGCTTGGTAACTACTAGTTAGTTTGTAACTAAATCAGCTACTACACTTTGTTGCACCATAATTACTTGGGGTGGAACCTAACTAGTTTGGATGTAAAGTCACAACCAAGGCGAGTTCCATTTTCATGGTTACTGCAACCTTTAGCTTTTTGGCTGGCATGAGCCACTTGGCATCGTAGTTACCTAGAGCGATATTGAAATATCATCTCAATATATTAGGTAATATATTTTTGTGGTGCAACCTCTTTTATTTTAGTAATTTAGAAATAAATCACAGTTAGTAATAATTTACGTAATAACTAGCCAAGTTTGAACTACGCACAGCTGGTGCAACAGGCTGCTGCCCACTACTAATATCTGTATGAGGCTAGCAGCTCAAGGTCGAATCTATGCTCGAAATGTTAGCAGTCGAGCTGCATTGTGAGTAATGTAGACGCCAGGAAAAAGAATGCATGGAATAACAAAGATGGTATCTATGGCTCAGTCTTGATTGTTTTTTAAGGAGCGCAAAGCTAAAC